GCCGCCGTCCGAAACCTGCGGGGAGGAGTGAAATCCGCACCCCTGTGTTATTGGGCAAGGGGTGGCGCTGGCGCTGCTGCCGCTGCTGCGGTGCGGCGGCGCGCGGGTCCGAGCCGAGAAGTCGTCTGGCGGGCGCGCGGCGCGTGCTGGGCCAGCGGGGTCAGAGAGCCCGCGTGGGAACAGTCGATAACATATGGCGGGGTGTTGTCGCGTTGGCGCCCCTGTCTCTCTAGTAGTAGTAGTAGTAGAGGCCTGCGGGGGTTGCGGCAGCGGTGGCGGCGGCGGCGCTGTGCGCTGCAACACAACGACGGCCGCCGGCAGTAGCCGGTTTAGCCACGGCTCGCCGATCCCATTGCTTCGCCATTTGACGACGACAAAACACCCCCCTGCCCACCCCCACGCGCGCGACACTGCTCGCCCCGCCACGCCCCGCCACGCCCCGCCACGCCGCGCAGAAACAAACGTGGTGTTGTTAGCACGTGCGGGGCGTGGCGGGGCGAGGTGCTGAAACCTGACCGCGACAGAGAATGCAACGGAAAAGGGAAGTCCAATGGGCCCCACGTCCTCGCCCAGGTCCTGACTCACTATGCCCTACCTCAACGTTGACCTCGACGTTGAGGTCAACGTTGACCCGTAAAAACCAACGGTTTCCTAAAAGTTCACCTTACCCCAGTCCCCGACAGAGGGTGCAAAAGCAGATGTAGCGTGACAAGTCGCCCATATTGCACGACCCTCCTCCCCCTTAACCCTCTCACACAGTCCATCTTAACCACGACCCGTTTTTTTGTAGTCCCGGGCTGCTTGGCTCGTACGTATTAGCCTGTTGATAAGGCCGGCACCCCTTGGGGCCGCCCGAGGGGCCGTGGGCAGCCCTTAGGGCCGCCTTATGGCCGCGGCGTACCGGGGAGAAAACAAGGCTCTTTATCCAGCCGAGCACTGTGGGTAATTGCACGACCAGCGATAGCCGCCGCCGCCACGACGAGACCGAAACGCCGAAAAGTAAAACGAGGGAAAAACAACAACGCAAGTACACAACACAACAAGTTTGGCTTAATGCTAAAGGCTCTCACATAACTCGGACCCGCGGGTACCCGAGTAACCTGGGTAGAAACCGGGTCAACGGGCCTTAATGGGTATAGCAGCGGGTTGTAGACCCGGTTTGTAAAATTGCTTACCTCCCGGGTAGACCCGTGTTACCCGGTACCTGCCCGGGCGGGCGGGTGCCCGGGTAAATGAGAGCCCGAATTAATGCTCCAAAAGTAGTATTATTTGTCAGATCGGACGTCACTGCGCGGGCGTTTTGGTGAATGTCAAAGGATGCCAAACTCGTTTCACGTCCGTTTTCCGGACTCATTAAAATGATTTGCAGCCGTCAGCGCGACTTGTTTCCAGTGAAGCCGCGCGGGGGGTGCATGTACCGAGAGCCATCGCAGTGCGCCGGGCCGTGACCGGTCGAGCAGCGCGGTGGCGCTCGCCCCTGCTGGCGCTAGCCTGGCCGTGTGGGTTCTACTCGCCCACTCCGCCGCGCCGTTTCCTCTCGTTCGCAGCCGCTTGCTGGGCGCTGCTGCTATGGGAGGGTTGTTTATACGGTCGAGCTGTTCTGAATGACCCCCCCCCCTCTCTCCCCTTTACGTCCTCACCGAGCCGACCATATCGCGCAGCTGTAAGCGTGAAAGTGTTGCGTTGCGTTGCAGTGGTGGCGGCCCTAGCCTGACCTGGCCGTGCTGCCGACTGGTAATCGCGCCCATGCCCGCTCTAATGACGGGGTGTGGACACGGTGGTTAGGATAGGTTAGGCGGGACTGTTCTCTGGCCCCGTGTAGGTTGGCCTATGGGCGCGGTCGTCATACTCGCGGACAGCTCCCGGGGGTTGAAAGTGAAGAGCAAGAAGAAGAACCGGGGAGGTCGGGTTATCGCGATATGTCCCCTGTCCTTCCAGGTACTAAGTTTGCACGTCTTTCTTCCTGCACTGTTAAAATCTTGCGAAGCGACGCTTTGTAATATACATTGTACATTGCTTTTTGCATTTGCTTTGCATTACAAAGCATCCAAATGCTTTGCAAGCTCAGTTATTTGTAAGGATTCAACAGTTCGGTGTCGTAGCGCACAAATTAAATGAAATTCGAAGGAAAAACGGACCTGTGCTAATTGAGTTCAGAATTGGTAGGATTTAGGATTTTTATTCGTTACAGTGTTGCAGGAAAAATGTTATCGGGCGGCATACAATCATCGTGGTCTCCCTTGTTTCGATCTTAATTGAAGGAAAGATTCGGAAGCATCCAGTCCCACCCACGCCCATTAAAAATCAAGTAGTTTTCGAACGAACCCCTGACCTCCTGTTCTTCTTCTCGGGCACAGCAAGCAAGTCACCAGTTTCCGCTCGAGTTTCCGTTCGCTTTTGTCTGTTTGCTTCCGATTCATCTCGTTCGGTGAGCCCTGCTCCTCTGCCGGCCGGGCGCGACGCTGCCGCTGCCGCCGTGCGGGGGCGGCGCCGGCCGCGCCGTGCGAGGGGTGGGGGTGGGGGCGGGGCCGACGCCGCCCGGTGGTGGGAGCATGCCGTCGGTGTCTCCTCCCGCTCCCGGCGGCCGGCTCCCGCTCCTTCCTCAGTGCGGCGCGCTACGCCGGTGGCAGCGCACGCACACAGGGCGCCACCCCGTCCCGGCCGCTCCGCGCCCCGCAGCGCGAGCGTGCTGCACCGCGTCGCGAGCGAGTACACGTCGCCGAGTGTAACGGAGGAAGGAGCGGCTACAAGTGTTTGTGTTGTGTTTGTAGGGTGTGGTGAGGGTCACGCCTGGAGTAGACTCTCATCAGCACCGGATGGCATTGCGTTGGCAGCCCTGCTGACTTGCCCACCGACGACAGGCGCAGGTGTGTGTTTTGCGTAGCAGTGTGTGTGTCTAAATGTGCATCATACGGCCAGTGTTGTCCAGGCCAGATCTTTCATCCCTCCCACGTGCTGCTGTTGTTGAAGTCTTTGTTGTCGGCACCCGTCGCAGCTCATCGTTTCGGGATATCAGTGATGTTCCACAATGTGTTGAGTGTGCTGTGACTTCGTATATGGTTTTTGAAATTCGGTCAGACGAGTGACGAGTAGAACGACTCAGTGATCAGGCCAGATGATACCGGGCCTCTGGACGGCCTCGCTCGCCTCCTGTACCAGTGCAGCTGTATGTGCATCGTGTGCATCGTCCTCAATTGGATTTAACAACCGCCCACTGCAACAAAACCTTTAGGGTGAGGGGCGAGCGCGCGGACCCCCGCGACCCGGGCGGTTGCTCAAGGTCGTGCTCGAGGCAGTGTTCGAGGCCGAACCCGAGGCCGGCGTCGTCCCCTTAAGGCGAAGGCCCTGCGAACTGCAGACCAGACCACCTGTTGACGGGGTTGACGGTGGCGTTCGCTCTACCGAGCTGCCCGCCCTGCCACGCCCCGCCCCGCTCGCGAGCAGGTGAGAACGCAGAGGCGAACGGGGCATTTTACTCACAAAATATTGGAAATCCTTTCTCTCCCTGGCGCGTCCGCGCGCGCCGCTCACACATTCGCAGCGAAAAAAGAGGAAGAGAGAAAGAAAAGGAAAGGCGTGAAAGGCGCGGCGCGGGAGATTTTAATTTTAAATGGCGGAATCGCGCGTGTGTGCGTGGAGGTGCGCACCCCGGGCTGGCGGACGGGCGCCCTGGCGCTCCGGGGAATATTTAAGAGCCCCAGCAGCCCGACTGACACACAGCAGCACGGGGGAAGGACTCGACAGAGCAGGTGAAGCTGTTTTTGTGCGCCGAGTTTCAGGCCAGCGGGCCGTTGGAAGGAGGTAAATAATAGAGGCACCTCGCTGCTACTGTACTCGCCGAGCGCTAGGCACGGGGATGCCCGCCTGCCCAGCTGCCGTATCTGGGGCAGTGTCGTGAATGAGTGAAAGGAGTATGGACAAAAGCGTGTCACTTAAAAAAATTTCTTCCGAAAAGAAATCGTTATGGAACTAAACGATGAGGTAAACTTACTCTACCCCTCTAAGGTCCGCCGAAGGTACCGTTAGGCCCGTTAATCGCCCTTGAGGAACTGGCAAGTTGAGCCTCCG